CCATTCACCCATCGAGCATTACAGTGATGAGATGGATTCATTCGCCAGCACGCTTTAACACACTCCAACACTTCTCTCCCACTGCCTAACCGCTCACTTCTCCATCTTCTAGTTGTACTTTTGATTTGTGCACCACTGCACCAAATTTCAGCCTGTCAGTTTTAAACCACCTGGAAGTCTGATGCTGTTACTCATAGTTTTTGCAGCTACTCCCAGCATGCTTTTTCTAGCTTTTTCTTTAAAGCATAATAATTAAATTAATAAACTGAATAAAGTATTCAGCAACTAGCCTACCAAACATGAAAGTCTACCTGCTCTTTCTCTTGCTTCATTTGCATTTCATTTGAAATGATTAAAACAAAAACAAAAAAACACACCAAAAAACCCCCCCAAATTTACTTTTCTTTCCAAATGCCCTAGAGCAGGCAGTCACTTTTGCACGATAATTTTTTTTTTTTAAACAGCCCCCCTACCCCAGTCTCTCTTGTTTAACTAGAATTTCTACAACAGCCAAAGCAATATCATCAACATCAGAGGAATACATATTGCTTTAGGTTATGGATTAAAGCTTTCCAGGTTTCCTGTGCAGATGATGGGCAAACTGCATCTGTTTCAGGTGAATTAAAACATGTTTAGGAACCAAGATGACTTTATTTCTGTTAAGTTATCTAAGCTAGCAGACATCGAGATATAAATTTCTCGGCCTGAACAGGGAATTGGGAAGGTTGTTTGCAGAATTAAAGTGCATGGAAGTGATTAACTGCCTGATATATCAGCCGTGGCTAGGGAGAGCCTCAGCAAGCAACTTCACTTCTCCTCCCAGCCATATCTCCAGATGACTCGCCCTTGCCAACTAGACACCCTAAGGGACTCCACTTCTGTTTTCTACTGCTTCTCCTCCTGGCTAAGTGTTTTCATGATCCAGAAAGCTTTTCCAACAGAGAAAACTCATTTTTCAGGGGAAGCCAAATCCTGCACAGACGTGCCTGCAGATGCAGTCACCTGCCAGCAAGTAACCTAGCGCACCTTTTATGGACCCTTCTTCTGCCAGCATGGCACTGTATGTCATGTTACAGCAACCAGCTTTAGGGCTGTATGATGAAGAATATCACCTTGAAAATTAAATAGTTTTAAAAGACACAACAGGTATTCTTTCATTTATGTTTATACAGCACCAACATCCTGTACAACACAAAAAGGAGTGGCTCATCAGATGAGCGGAGCAGCTTTGCCTCTAAACAGGGGTTCAGGATTAGAAGACCGCGTTGTTCCACTGCAAACTTACTTCATGTTCAGAAGGGGATTTTAGTCCTCACAATTGCTAGAATTTTCATCAGGCATAGAAACTTTGAAGAAAAAGGTGCCTTTTCCATATGCTATCCCTAAAGGAAAGGCTGAATCCTGGAGCCCCGTGTGGTAGCGAAGGGTGAATTCCACAGCTGTGGGATCATGCAACACACGGGGCCTAATTACACTCGGCAAGAATCAGTGCCCTTAGATGATTAAAAGCTGCAATGAAGCTGGGGAGCCCGAGAACCACAAAAGCTAGTTACTGCCTGTCAGCTCCAATAGAAAGAACATTATTTCTGCGTTGAAATCCTGAAAAAAGGTTCAAATCAACCACAATATAATGAAAGAAGGAGCAGAGAGAAAGAAAAAGAAAGAAAAAAGGCTTTTCTACGCCTTATCAGGCATAATTTTTATGCTTTATCAGGCAGGATTTTTTGCTGCAAGGGAATGTTGCAAGTTCCTCATTGCCACTTTTTTAGGCTCCCCACTACTTTGTGGGCATTCACGTATTAAAGTGTTACAGCTATGCAGATGAAACCTGCATTATTTATCAGCCCTCTCCCCATGAAGGTAGCAGATTGAGAAAGCAAACCAAGAGCATGCTCTCCACACCAATGACAGCAGCGCACACTGTGCTGTACAAACACCACCATCTAAAATTCTTTACAAAAATCTAGTGTGGAAAAGGTCAAATGGAGACCTTCTCTCTCTTTGGCATCCACCTCTTCTTTGGCAATGCAAAGTGTCAGCTTCTCTGGGGCTCAGTGAGTGCTATCAACCCTTTCATCTGAGCTAGCACCCAGGAAGGTCTGGATTAGCCTCCTGGTTCTGCTGGCAACCTCCTCCATGACCTTGGACAGGTTATTAAATCCTGACCCAGAAAACAGCACAAATGCAATATATTCACGCCCACAGGGCCATGTCTATGCAAGGGCTGCTGCAATCACCTTCCTAGAAGGGACAAGCTTCTGTGTCCCCAGTCTGCAAGATGCATGCATTACCATTTTCTTCGCCTTTCTTTCCTATAAGTTCCTATACGTTTTGAACTCTCCGAATCAGCTATCACCTTTGACACTGTACATATAGTGCCTGTGTCTAGCACAAGCAGATTTTTGCTTAGAGCTTCTTTGAAGCATGTCAGCAGCCATTGCTGTGACCTGTGAAAGAGACTGGACTTAGTTTTCTTGGCTGTAACTGACTGAAATAAAGATGTACAATTTTTAAACTATCTGCTACAAATCAAAACCTTCCATTAGCAGTTATTTAGTGTCCTAAGCCTTAAAAATTAAAATTAGCATCATCTTGATGACAGTTAAGTTCTTAGTGATATGTTCCCATGCATACTATCATTAGGGACAGGAAAAAAAAAAGAAGAAAAAACTGGCATTGCATTCAGAAAAGATTAAGCAAAAGCACTCCTGGATTAACTTGAATTACTTTTTAACACATTTTCCAATCCCTTAGCATCTGGAACTTGTTTAAAGTAGAAACTGAACTTTTAAATAGGTTTTCAGTTGCTGATGACTAGCTTTAAGAAAAAAAAATTCAGTGCTGACAGAATAAGAGATAAATTTACATGCATATTCAAACATGTATTAGGAGCTACTTGACACATATCAAATTACTTTCCAGGAATAACCACACACACAAAAAAGAGAAGAGAAGAGCAAGTGGAATTATCTACTTCATACTGTGATTTACAAATTTTAACCAAAAACTAAAACAAGTATTAACTATCATATTTCTCAGGCTAAGCAGGAACTGCTGTTCTCTCTTGCCTGTAACCTCATATATGCTTCTTTTTTATGTACTAGAAAGTTTCTGACCCTTGTGCACACAGAGAAAGGACAAATTGGCCTCTATTAAAAGCACTACTGAGCATCTGCAATTTTTTCAGGGATCTAGTAACTGAAGAAATGACACTAACTAATATAAGAATGTTCTAAATTTATCATTTTACATGCAGGTTTCCATGACCCTGCAAATTGGGGTTAAGAATGGTTTTCTTGGTCTAGAGCCTACTCTTGGTCCCTTGTACAATCATAAAGTTTAAGAGCACTGCTCAATTGAGAAAAGTACATCATTCTTCCCAACAGTCCGTTTGTTCTTTTCTTGGATCAGGTTCTACTTTTGGTAGTGCATGAATTTATCCTGTAATTTTATTAAGTGAGCAGTCTCTGTAATTAGCAGTTACAAACATCTGGCTGCATTTCAAATTAAAAAAAAAAAGTCTGAATTGCCTACCATTTCACCAGAATTGAACATCTTTGTACCCTGCCAGCAACACTTATCCCAAAATTACATGCTGGAAAGAGACATACTTAAGGCAGACAAAGATCTGTGCAGTACAGTCAGGAGAAGCTGTAGTCAGAGCTTTGGCATGCTTTGCAAGGTTTATTTCAAAGACTCTGTTAAATGTACGCTGCTGCATTAGAGTAAAAAGGGTAGAAATGACAACTTACAGGAGGTCCAGTTTCCCCCTTTGCACCTCTGATATTTCCCATTTCAAACATTTTGTCAAGATCTTCATAGTCATAACCATAATTAGCAATATCAATTTCATAACTGCTTTCTGTGTGATAAGTCTCATCAGCATCAAAGGCACCTTCCTCCCACGAACTGAGCTGATTACCCAGCGCCAGGTCAGCAGTAGCACTGTACCGGGTTGTGTTTATGATTTGCTGCTTCTTGGTTGGTTCATCTAAATGCTGCTTTGCCTTGCCCTTTCCCGTGCTTTTGCTCTGTTTTACAAGGGAGATCAGAGAAGGCTCACTTTTTCTGCTTGCATCTTCTGTGGTATTATCTGAAGTATTTGGATACAACAC